CTAAACTCCCGTCGAGGGGCCAAATATGAAGGCTCCACAGCTGCGGCTGGGGATGCCAAATCTTGCCCTTCACTTGCAAAAGAAGGTCTCTCCTTAGTGGTAGACAGCAGCTCAGGGAACCAAGTTTGTTTTTTTCCAGAGTGGGGCTACTAGGAGGAGTGAGCATTTTGTTTTCCTGACCTGCCTGATAACCTGAGGAAGCAGGGCGATCGAAGGGAAGGCATACAAACTGGTGTTGGGTCAGTTGTGGGCCAGAGCATCCCGTTGTCTTGAGAAATAGACTGAGGATGTAGTCTCCATTCTCCTGGAGCTACATTGTCCCTGGAAAGCATGTCTGCTCCCTGGTTCAATTTGCCTGGCACATGAACCGCTAGTAATTAGAGGAGTTTGCTCTGTGCCCAAAACAGGAGACGTCGAGTCATCCTGTAAAGGGGACGTGACCTGAGACCGCCTTGGTGGTTGATATAAGCTACCACTTTTGTGTTGTCCGAATGGACCAGGACGTGGTGCCCCTTTAAGGCTGGCAGGAAGTTTAGCAGAGCTAAACAGACTGCCATCATTTCGAGGCAGTTGATATTTAGGTGTCGCTCGTGGATTGACCATGAGCCGTATGCCAGATCACCCTCGTACAGAGCGCACCAGCCAGTCATCAAGGTAGTTCAAGATGCGGATTCCCATCTGTCTCAGAGGGGAAAGAACTGCGTCAATGCACTTTGTAAAAGTGTGAGGGGCCAGGGAAAGTCAGAATGGTAGGACTGTGTACTAGTGATGCGCGGATGGTGGTTATATCCGTGGGCGCTGTGGATAATCCGTGGATCGGGTGGGTCGGGTAATAAAAAAATGCATTCTGTCCCGCAACGAAATTCAGGATCTGATTAAACATAATTCTATTATACAGAGAATTGTGAAATAGATTTTCATGACTTTTCAAAAACTTTTTGAGTTTATTTATTTTTACAAAACTTTCTAGGCCTGGAAATTGCTGTTCAATGACTTTTCCAGGTTTTTTATGACCGTACGAACCCTAATGTGATGATCGGGTGCGGGTCGGGTGCGGTTATCTAAATCAGACAAAAATACAGGTGCGGGCGGTTGGCGGGTGGATAATTTATTTGAAGCTGCGGATTCGGGTGACGTTTTAGCTCATCCGCGCATCACTACTGTGTACTGATAGGCCACTCCCTCGAATGCGAATCTCAAGAACAGTCTGTGACGGTGTGCTATTTGGATGTGAAAGTATGCATCTTTTAGATCCACAGACAGAAACCAGTCCTCGGGGATATTTGCACGAGGATCGGTTTCAAAGTTAGCATTCTGAATGGCCATCACATGAGAGCACTATTCAGGAGTCTGAGATCGAGAATTGGTCTAAGCTCACCATCTTTCTTGGGAACAAGGAAGTAACGGCTGTAAAAACCTGACTCGCTGTTTGCTAAAAGGACCATTTCTATGGCGCCTTCGCAAGCAATGTTTGAACCTCAGACCGAAGAACAAGAGCATCGTTGCTCTTACCTCAAGTTACCTCGTTCTATGTCTGTTAGAACCCAGCTTGACACGCCAGGGATGGCTTTCCAAGCCAAAAACCGAGCGGCAAGTGGTTCTATTTTTACTGATGGCAGTTCACCGTGCATAGGTGGGGAACTGACATTGGTGACTGCAGGGAGAGGATAAATGCTTTTTTGAGTATGTGGGTCTGCTATCACAGTGGTAATCAGCTGGGGCACACGCCAAGTTTGTAGGACATGCCCGGTTAAGAAACCTCCACCACTCAGAAGTGTTCGAAGAGGTGGGGAATGATCGCAAACTTTCTTCAAGGGAGTTACGGCCTCGGCGAGAACTAGCCCTCTCCTCTTCCTTTCTGCACGCAGATCAGGATGACTTCTGAGGTTCAGGGTCCAGCACTACTAGAGGGACTTTGACGCTTCAGGAAGGGATAATTCTTAGCCGTCCGGGGGCACTGTTGAAGCCCAGGCTCTGGCTTCAGTGGGGGCTGGGACAGCGCAGACTTTGCAGGCTGCTGGGTGGACGAGGTCTTGGGATGACTTGCAACAGTCGCTGAGCTAGGGAGCTTGGGCAGGAAATGATGCAGCGCTTGCGATGTCTTTTGTGCCTCTGTGAAACGCTCTGTAAATCTGTCCACGGCAGGGCCAAACAGTCCCTTGGTCGAGACAGGGGAGTCGAGGAAGACCATTTTGTCAGCATCGACTTATATAGCGGTCAGCTCCGCCCCTTCTGGCAGGCTCAAGCGCCATTGTTTTGTGCAGCTACACAAATGTTAACGAATCAGGCTTCAGTAACAGAGTAAACAGAAGTTTCCCCATTAGCCCCATTAGTGATGCAACAGGAGTTTCTGTTCGATAGAGAACTAACCTGCACTTGAAGTACTGAACAGGTCAGTATTTTCGCCTCTCTGTTCCAGCTGGGCGCTTCCAATCCATTCTTGAGTCTTTTGCATTGATTACTCTTATCGAAACCGGCAGAGGCGCAGAGCGTACAAGCAAAAGTGTAGCGTTGCCAGTCACAACTACTATTTCATGATTTTTTGGAGATTTTGTATCCAATGGCGAATTAGTAAATAATCGCTTTAGTACATTCGGCAGGCAATTATATATATATTTAAAAAAATAATTTAAAACATTTTAAATATTTAAAAAAAAAAACAGCGCAACGGCCAAATCGGTTGCCAGGCCACCGGGAATTCTCCCGGTTCTCCCGATGACCAGTCTGAGCCTGTCTGACGGTATGATAACCTTAAAGGGTTAGCAAAAATGAAAATTAGCACATAAATGACTCACCCTCAAGTCATCCTAGGTGTATCCCCGGTAGAAATTTTACGTTCCCAGAACGTCCTCAGAACGTCGCCGCATGTCGTCAAGGACGTTGCCTAGTTACGTCCCCAGAACGTTCTGAGATGGTCACGATGTCTAGTTCTTTAAAGGGTTGGGGAACATTATTTGGAGGACCTTCACAGAACTTTCAGGACTTTCAGGACGTTCTCGGGACGTTTAGGGGACCATATTTTACTTGGAAATCTGACGTTCCCAAAACGTTCTCAGAACGTCGCCGCTGGTGTCAAGGACGTTGCCTAGTTACGTCCCCAGAACGTTCTGAGACGGTCACGATGTCGAGTTCTTTAAAGTGTTGGGAAATGTTATTTGGAGGACCTTCACAGAACATTCAGGACGTCTTTTGCAGGACCAACCTAGAATTTTTTTTTTGGTCCCATTTAGGTCCTTCCATCACATTTACTGAATGTTTTCAGAACCTTTAGTAACACATTACAGGAGACTATAGGGGACCAAACTAGAATGATACTGCAGCACTGCAAAAGTATCAGTTCTTTCAGTAACAGTTACAGTTCTTTCAAACTGGTTCTTGGTCTGTGTTCACGCTTAACACACTCAAACATAAAATACAAAGCAGGAAAACATCATTAATTTATTTTGTTAACAAAAACAGATTATAAACTAATATTAAATGTGGTCATGCATAGGAAGGGTGGGGGAGATGGGAGGGGGGGATCTCAGTCAATTCAATTCAATTCAGTTAAAATTGGCTTTGTTGCCATGACAATTTCCACAGTAAAGCATCAAAATGTGTCCAAATAATGGAAACAGTAACAAGAACATAACGATTTATATTAATTATATATTCAGGTTCAGCTTTGCGCATGCGCCGCTCAGAAGTGACGAACGCGGAAGTGCAGGGGAGAGATCAAAACAAAACAACGGTCACTTATTAGAAGTACAAAACGAGGATTTTTAAAGAAGAATGTCGATGATTTCGATATAAGCCAATAGGACACTGGTTTTCCTTTGCTAAAGTAAGGAAACTTTGCTTCCTTTGCTCCTGTTAACAAACGTTGGTTTCACGAGACTCACTGGCGCATGCGCAACGCTGAACTCATACATCATCAGCCCGGAACTGCTTCCGTGTACAACTGTTGGCGCAAGCTACAGTGATTATTATGTTTTGAATATGGATATTTTTTCTTACAAAAACGCATCGATTCGCTACAGGAGGCCTTTGTTCACCCCCCGGAGCCGTGTGAGACATTTTTTTTTTATGGATGGGTGCTTTTTATTTAACTTCTTTTGTACTGATGCATGCAACACCCGCTGAGTGGCATTAAACAGCTTGAAAGATCAAAGACCATTTTTAATATAACTCCTACTGGATTCGTGTGAAAACACCTGGGATGACTTGACGGTGAGTAATTTATGGGCTAATTTTCATTTTTGGGTGAACTAACCCTTTAAGCAAAAATGTCACCAATTCATGGTATCACGGTATTGTTGTTACAGCTCTAAAATGCGTTATTTTTAAATGTCTGGGTAAAAAACAACAACTTTTTTTATTATTATTTACAATGTCCATCAGCTTGATTCAGTCATATTATACGTTCAATCTGAATAAAACCAGTTAGTTTAGATAAGATCAAACACTTTTTTCAGGTCAACTGTCAGAACAGTTTGCATTAGAATTTTGCCACTAGCGTTGACACTCAATCTGACGTTTCACACTCCATTACATGTACGAGTGGCATCTGCTAAGAACAAATGTTTAAGCTTGGTGAACATTCATGAACACACTCACATTTTGTTCAGTTTGATATAAAGTTTTTATTTTCACATTTCAGAGTCATTTCTCAGTTTGGATACTGACAGTTTCAGAAGTTTTATTAGTAACATCACAGCTAACAAAATATGTTATAAGAACGTTGTGCTAACGTTCCCATTAAGTTATGAAAATGTTCATTCAAAATGTAAAGTTTTTAAAACATTTTAGAAATGTTTTTCTTGGTTATGCAAACATTACGGGAACATTACATTTGATCATTTTGCAAACATTATGGGAACATTACTTTTTGAATGTGTTCTGAACGTTCTGAAACAAGTAACATTTAAAAAAAATTTGGATAAGCGTCCAACTAAAACATTGTAATTACATTTCTGGAAAAAATATTAACCAAAGTTCTTAGAATGTTCCTTGTTAGCTGGTATACTTTATATATGGCAAAACATAATGAATCACAAAAATTGTTGGCATTAATACTTCACATCAAGCTTAAAAAAAAACAGACAAACTTGCTCATGTCTTAAGATAAGTAGATGATGTATACTGTTGCTAAGAACAGTGTTAATTTCCAGTAAACAAACAGATGGCTCCAAAACATCTGATATTACATCGCCATCTTTGTATAAAACTGCTTTAAAAAGCACTAAATGCAGGAACGCGAGACATGTTATACAAACACACACAGATATCTGGGTCAGTGGTGGGCGTATGCATTCCTGCTGTATGACTACATTTACTAATGCCCTGTGAAAGCAAACACACACACTGGAAGTGTGACAGTGACTCCAACAGTCTGGTCAGAATGAAAGCGAATATTTGAAAGCAAAAGCATTAAGCGAATATCTATTCTACAGAGAATGTGGTCAGTATCAGTGCAATGGAATCTTGTCGCGATCTGATTAATCACCATGCATGAAGTTACCAAATGTCAAATAACACCAAAGATAAAATTGTTATTTTGAGGATCAGCAATAAAAATGCTTATAAGTTATAAAAATGTTGTGGGAACATAATTCCAGTTTTGGAATGCTTCTAAAACATTGAAATATCCAGTTTTCTTATCACGGTTATGATGTAAAAGATTACAGAGACGTTTCTTACAAAGTTTTAACTTTATTTTCACCCAAAATATGTTATTTGAATGCTTATTTTTAATATTCTAAGAACATTAAAATGTCCAGTTTTCTTTTTGTGATTAGAATGTTACAAAAATGTTTCTTAGAGCATTCGTCAAGTTCTATCTATTCATCTTCAACATCCACCATTTCAGCTGTAGCGTCTGGACCAATCAGACACACCATTTTTCATTTGATGCTTAAGCTGTAACCCTTTCCTATACCAACTGTATGTGTGTGTGTGTGTGTGTGTGTATGTGTATGTGTATGTCAGACCAGTTTAAGTGTTTATGTAGTATGTTAGACTAGTTTAAGTGTTTATGTAGTTAATAAAGTCTTACTTGTATCACACTTGACGTTGTTCATTGTTTGCTCATAACTGGAGTCCCTTAATCATGCAGATTTATGCTACAGGCTCTCTGTAGAACTGTACAGTAAGAAAGTTATTTACCTTAATCAGGAAATTAACGTTCTTAGAATTGACAGACAGTTGACCCTGAGAGGTCAAGTAAATATCTACAGCGGATCTAAATATTTATAATTAATTATAACTAGTTATGATTAATTATTCATATTTCCCCATGAGCTGATTCGCTACACAGCATTACATTTACATTCATGCATTTATTAGAAATTCATAAAAAATAAAGCTTAATATATCTATAGGATACCCTACAAGCTTTCTGTCATTTTAATTCTTCCTTTTTCATGACAAATACCAAATTATCAGTTTTACTGTAGCAATTATAATGGTGTTATTTTGACAGGAATAATGGTTTCTAACCACACTGTTCTCATAACACAAACATAAACTATGGCTTTAGATTTGAGACTGACAGGACTTTATAAATCCACTGAGCAAATATGTTTAATGTACATCGTTGTTTTGGTTATGTACTCTATATTCATAAGAACACTGCATATGTACTGTACATACAGTATATGACTGTTTTACAGCATGTTTGTCAAAAAATTGAAAATAATGAGGTGAAAATCTGACGCAGGAAACAATGTAAAGTGTAAACTGTTTGGAAATCTTGTACATTATTATTATTTAATCTGTTCTCTTAGGTTCACTCATGTTTATTTCATGTTTTAAGTGTTTTGGACAAATTTTACTTCGATTGATCATATTACAGACTGGACTGAGAAGGATGTTTTAAGTTTTAATAGAACATTTACATATTTTACTTCAAGAAAAACTCGATATGAGGCCTTTAAAAAACAACGAGGTACTGGATAAAAAAAAAAAGTTTGTTGGCTTGAGAAAGCCTGACCAGAAATGTCAAAAAGTAGATTTAATAGCTTTAAGTCAGAAGGTTTTACATTTTAAGTTGTTAAAAGTTTGATTAAGTAATAGTTTTAAAAGATGGGTGGTTGCTAGGGTGTTCTGGACGGTTACCAGGGTGTTGCTAGGGTGTTTTGGGTGGTTACAAGAGTGTTACTGGGTGATTGCTAGGTAGTTGCTAGGGTGTTATAGGTGATTTCTAGGCGATTGCTATGTGGCTGCTACGGTACTCTGTTTGCTTGCCAGATGATTGCAAGGGAGTTGTGAGTTGTTGCTAGTCTAGGGGTGTCTAAGTCATTGCTGTGTGTTTACTATGGTGTTCAGGATGGGTGCTATGTGGTTGCTGGGGTGTTTTGGATGGTTGATAGCCATTGGTTGGCAATTCACAGTTGCATTTTCACAAATTTTCAACCAGCTTTGTATTATTACAAATGTCAGTAGTAGAAATAAATGAATAATGTGTATAATTTTTCTGTTAACCTGCACCAAAAGATCAGTTTATTTGTCAGCAAAAGTCTGCCAGAGGATATAAAACACATCATCCAGCAGATTTTGGACAGATCCAGGGATTTTGAGAAAACTACACATTGTATTTCAGTATAGTCTGATCGAGAACATTATTGGTGTTTTTTTTTTTTTGCCACAGCCCTTTTTCTTTGTTTTCTCTAGTCGTGTAGCACCGATTTGAAATAATAATAATAATAATAAAATGTTTACTGCATAGCAAACATTTATTAAAAACCCCTCTTGCCAGTGGTGATGTACCCTTTTAATAAGTCAGATAGTGGAGAAGTGTCAGAAAATGTTTGTGCTGGATCAACAAGTGAAATGGGTCACCCACATAAGAACTGCATGGCGTGTTCAGGCGTGTGCATTTTGTTGTTTTGTTTATTGCATTTTCTACCATCCATGAAAAGCCACTAAAAAACAGTGATAAAGGTCATTATATTATTGACAGCTGTTAAAGGCTCCTCATTGATGTTGCAATGAATGTTCCTGCAAAGGGAGAAAAACATCATAAATCACTCTTAAAATGCGGATTATAGGCTCAGATTTCATTTTGATGTAACCTAGAGCTTCTAAACAAACATCAACGTGCAAGAAGAGTTCACATACTATGCCTATGAACTTGTTACTGTAAGCTGCTATTTATTTTAATTGCAATGAACACATTTAGGTCACAAGGGGAAAAAATGGACTTACTTCTGATCTGATGTCTATTTCTGCAAGTAATTCCCACATATGCTGCAGCAATTGTGATCAAAATGACGAGAGACCCGCAGACTGAAGAAATCACAATGGTGCTCTGGACGCTCTGAGGTTCAGCTGACTCTTTTCCTTGTACTTGTTGTGCTACAAGAACAATAGAAGTTCATTGTATATTTGTGTGGAATAGTGAAATGGTGTTTGTGGTCTTAAGTCTCCATAGAAAGCTTTCTTTTGGATGCAAACTATGTAACCTGACATATACTCAGTATGGTAGCAATGAGATAAAATATGACCTTAAAGTCTACAGCAAAACAATGGCTCCAGTTCCCAGGGAACAGACAGATAAACATAGATAAAATAAGCATCGTGAAGTCAATTGTGTAAGTAAAAGAAAAAGAAGGATCTCCTTATTTCTCACACAAGCGTTCAGAGAGCTCACATTTAGTTTTAAAATTCTGAATGAGTTTATTGTATAATCTACATGTAAAAGTCTTGCAAAAGTTGTGTAGTATTTATTTCTGCCACAGAATTTAAAAAAAGGTAATCGCTTTTTATTTCACAGTTCAGACTTTTTTTCTCGCAAATGCGAGTTTATATCTTAATCCTCACTTTGTCTCACAATTCTGACTTTTGTATAGACTCAGAATTGTGAGATATAAACTCAGAATTGAGAGATTATAAAGTCAGAATTACGAGATATAATGTCAGAATTGTAAAATATAAATTCAGAATTGAGAGATATAAACATGCATCTGCAAGAAAAAAGTTACAATATTTTTTTTTTCTTTTTATTTCATTGTGGAAATAAGCTTCCATAGTGCTGAATTAAGAATCAATGGTAACATATTTATTGATTTAATCAAATTAAATGACTTAAAAACAATATGTTTGGCTTTTCATCTTGGTGTTTATGTTGAGGTTCACTTTATATGTAAAATTATTTTGATAAGTTTGAATATGTGAAGAACAAAAATATGCAAAGTTATAAACCATAATTTTATAAACAGGTAGTTGACACAAAATACATGTTGATGTTATGCTCCATTTATTTTATTTTAAACCACTTTTTGTATGCAGATTAAATCATTTTAAAGACTACATATTTTGATTTTACACCACAGGACCATTAAAATGAACAAGTGAACACAAAAATGGCATATAAAAGCATATAACATACACTTTCCCTTCATAATTTGAGTATGTGATATGCAAGTACAATGCGAAATAAATGCTGATACTGACCTGTGACCTCCAGATAGATTTTTTCATGCCTTAAAGGTTTTTTCTTATAGTAACAGATGTACAGTCCCTGGTCTGATGAACACACAATATGAATCACAAGAGAACAGTTTCCTGTCAGCCTCAGCTCTGTTCTGTTCCTGTACTCGAGTGCCATTTGGTTGTCTTCTTGGTCGTCATCTTTGTAGTAATTAACCACAAGTGCCTGATCATCGATGGACTTCTGCCAGACCAGATACGGAGGCCAGTCAGGAGGACACATGCAGGGAAGAGCTGCTGCTTCTCCAACCATAGCATTAACTTTAATGACAGGGTGGTCTGTGGAGGAAATATTAAGACAAACGTCTCACATCTGAAGTTTAATAAATATTATGGTACTGTAATGATATCAGATACTATATGCATTGAGATTTATACCATGACTGATTCATCAAAGAATAACATGATACTACTATGGTACGAGGCCAAACAATGGTACTTTTTGGTTAGTGTACTGTGTGTGTCTGTACTACAAACCATATTTTAGGCACACATTTGTACCCAGAAGTGAGCTAAATCTGTCAAAACCTCCTCATTATCCTCATTTGTTAGTTCTCATTTGTAAAAACATTATAAAGTCTGTATGTCTGTCCTGTGAAACGAACAGATCGTATTCCAGGGGCAAGGGCGCCTGCAGGTATATGGCTGTACGCTGATCTAAGTGTGACCAGGTACTACTTTCCCCTATTTTTGAATGAATGTACAAATAGTCTTTATGCATTGCTATTGGGGCGCATCACTTATCCCATGGGTTGTTCCTCCCTAGTAACCCACTGGCGATTGTTTTTTTTTTGTGTGTTGTATTATTGCCTTAGAGCGTGGATATTATTTCAGCATATTTTAGGCATATGCAACGCAGCTAGCCAGAGACATTGGGAGTCAAACATATCCAAACATTAAAGAAGCATGATTGTTCAGCGTGCTAGACTGTGGTTGTCACTGGGTAAGTTTGGCTCTCATTGGAGGAGGGGACAGATTTGGACATTAGTGTGGTGGTTAATGATTTTGTTCTTTTCTAAAGGTATTTGGGGTCTCCCTTCTCTGCCCAATTTTGTGTTTCCAGGGTGGTTGTAGGGAGTTGACGTTGTTCTGCAATCAAGAATAGAAGGAATTCACTCACTCATCTGTTTTGTGTTCCATGTCGTCTGTGCCGGTGTTTTCCAGACCCTCATATTTGTGTTAGTTTGTGGGTTTTCTTTTCTGTAATTTGGTGGTTTTGTTTCTTTTGTAAAATTGTTATATGATCATTGTATGTGTTTTTTCTATTATGATTGAGGCCAGAGTGTCTGAAGTACTATTGTACTGATTGTGTTTTGTTGGTTTGTTTGTTTCTTTTTCTGAATTGATTATTATTAGTGGTAAAGATTTTTATTTTAGTAATCTTGTAGCCCTTTGTATATAAGTGTTCTTTGAGTAGGAGGTTGTATGTGTTAATCTATTATGTTATAGAAGTTTGTCCGTAAAGATTTGTTCTTGTAAACATTTGCTTAAGTGTGTGTGTGTGTGTGTGTGTGTGTGTGTGTGTGTGTGAGTGTGTGTGTGCGCGCGTGTGCGCGTGTTTTGCTTACAGGAGCTGAGGGCTTCAGGCAGGAGGTTCTATCGATCCATTCGTGTGCTGGAGGTGGGTTGGACACTGTGTGCGGTGCTGCAGTATGGAGCACGGATTTGGGTGTGAGTGAGGTTTGTTTTGATAGTATTCCAGTCCTTCAGCACTCAGCCCTGTATGTGATTTAGAGTGTTTGTTTTGTGTTTTTGCTATTTTGTTACTATTATTGTTGAGTGATGGTGTGAATTCCCTTCTTGGTGTAAAATCATTTATGGAAAGATTCGAGGGCATGGCCTTCTATTATGTGTTACTGATGTACTTTATGTGATGTGACTCAAAGAATTTTGTATGGTGCTCATGTCTCTGGTCCATTTTAGTGAAATGAACTTGTGTGCCTTAATCTAGTTTCAATCATTCTTTGTGTTATACATCAAAGTGGCGTAGTCGGGTTTCATTACAATTGAGAAATTACTGTATTGTATTTATTGTAGTAGTTGGACCCTAGTGGTCTCTTCCTTTCTAGCCTGGCCACATAAGCAACATTTTCCCTGTGAATATTTCAGCAGTTATTATTTGAGTCCCGCATTTCTGTTAAATGAACTATATGACAATCATTTGTGGTTTAATCATACTTTTGAGCCGGTTCTCTCTTTTCGGTGAACTGGCTGAATGCGGACCACACTTTCACTGAATCACATAGGCGGAGCCTTCCCCTGGCCATGGGGGCTTGAGATAAAAATGTCTCCAAATTTGACAAAAATGCCCCTGCACAATTAAACTAAATCTATCACGGCTGTCGTGGATAAAGGGAAAATGAAATGAAAAGTGTTGATTGCGGCATTAAATGTAGATCTGCTCATCTCGCATCATATTTCTTTTTACGCGTTTTACAGCGTTGTGCATTATAACCAATCACACACAATTCTGTTGAGTTTATGAATGTAATGGCCAATCAGAGGCGTTCAGATGAGTCATCGCTGAAACGTCATAGTTTTGTTTAGTGCACGAGCTCGTTGACTGAATTGAGCTCTCTTGTGAATTCTCTCATCATAAACAACAAGTGCAGATGTATGTGCGATGTAAGTAAGAGATTCATTTGAGAGCGTAGGCAGTTTCAATGATAATAACAGAAGTTTTTTTTTTTTTATAATTTTTTTTGAGAGTGCTTAAACTCGCGCTAGACTTAAGTCATTGATAATGTGATAATGTAAATGTTCTTTGCTCGCTTCCGGTATATAATTTATTTGCTATTTGAATAACCGTGGAAATTAAATCAAATACTAAAATAATGTTTTTTTTATTAAGCTGTGATCATGTTAAATGCAAATTCAGTCATATTAAAATATTTTATGACATGACACCCATATCTGGCCTAATAAAATGGGTTTGTGATGTGTGTATTACACTAACATTAGGCTGTTTTAGCCTTATACCCTGGAGCTGGTTCACCCTTTGCCTATGCTGAATCATCTGAAGCGGTTTCGGTTAAAAAAAAAAACAAGAACGCCAAACTGTGCTGGATAAAATGTATAATCAAGTACAAACAACTGAAAAAATACTACATTTTGAATGTTAACTTAAAAAATATCAGCTACTGCTGTGCTGAGTCTTGTGAAAAAGCGGCCATTCACACGGAAACGGGTTTTGTGTCCGTGCTGTTTTTCAGATGTTTTCCTATGTGAACATGCGATGGATGTCTTTGACAAGTCATCCCGGCTTTTCATTGTCTGTTCGGATTTCAATAGGTCCATGTGTTCAAACTTAACCATGAAGCTTCAGTTTCAGATTGAGCTGATATCTACATGATACCTGTCAGAGATGTTTGTTCATCAGCACACTTTCACTTTCACTGACTGACCCACACACTTTCACTCGCAAAGAAAATGTGCTCGGAAGCGAAAGTAATTGCACAGCCACCACATTCATAAACAGTAACTCACTTATGTGTTAGAATAACATGAGTGGCCAAACTCATACTGGTACTTTTTGGTATTTTTTTGTTAGTCTACTGTGTGTGTGTGTGTGTGTGTGTGTGTGTGCGTGTGTGTGTATACGAACTATATTTTAGATATAGCACAGATTTGTACCCAGAAGTGAGCTAAATCTGTCAAAACCTCCTCATTATTCTCATTTGTTAGTTCTTTTTAAAAACATTAAAAATGTTAAAACATTGTCTGTCTGTCTATCTACAGTGGGTACGGAAAGTATTCAGACCCCCTTAAATTTTTCACTCTTTGTTATATTGCAGCCATTTGCTAAAATCATTTAAGTTAATTTTTTTTCCTCATTAATGTACACACAGCACCCCATATTGACAGAAAAACACAGAATTGTTGACATTTTTGCAGATTTATT